AGTATGGCTATATCACTTGCCGTCTGCGCCTGCTGCCAGTTGTCCATCGCGCGAGGTCCCAGCGCCCGTCTGCTACGCGCGCGCCATTCATCACGCGCCCAGACAACCCGCACAACACGCCCACGTGACCCCAGGCGCCAGCGCCTATCCGCAGCGGCATAGGAGTCCCGCCCCGCGTGCACGCATACGCCCAGCAGTTGCCAGCACCCGTCCGCATATCCCTGCTGCCCGGGCGTCACGCCAGCGCCCGACGCGCTCCTGCTGCCTTCCGCGAACGACGCCTGTGACCGAACCGCTGCAACCGACACCGAGACACAACCGAGCTTCGTTGGAACTTTCGATTAGAATCGAATATAGGGCCAAATCTATCTGCCCATTAGATTGTGGTGTTCAGAAGAAATACATCAACGGTATTCTACATCGTCTCAGAGTCGGCAAAAATTTTAAAAGGTAAACGTCCATATCCTAACTTCAGATTCTGCTGCGTTAGGATTTATTTCACAAGGACGAATCTCCTTCGGGATGGTTATAGTGAGCTATTTCAAAAGCGTACGGGTCACCCAAAGGTGGACGTATAATTTTGGTAGTAAACTTAGTACCAATTAATGAGTTACACATAAAATATAAATAATTACGATAGTCCCAAAGGATAAGGTCGTTTTTATTTCTTTATAAGTTAATTGCGCTGGCCAAAAGATGAACCGACTATTAGTTAAGTACTGCTCGACAGTATGTTAAGCTAATAGGATTTATCCCTCCTCTTGCGAATGTTTGAACTGTAGACGTCCACACTCCGTGGCCTGCGGGGATTCAGTGTTTTGAGGTGTTGGTGAATTTATTTGAATATTGTTACATGGGATCAATATTTGATGTTTAAATTCAAAACTACTTGACTGAGTAAAGCTATGTTTGCATGATCCCAGGAATTCAAAATGTCTTTCAATCTGTTGTCCGTAATTCTCAAAGAAAACAAACTTGTTGGTCCAAATTATATTGACTGGAAAAAAAACTTGGATATTGTGTTAGCTGCTGAGGGGTTCAAATTTGCTATTGTTGAGGCTTGTCCGGCTGTGCCTGCTGACAATGCACCAGACCAAGAGAAAGAGGAGTATGCTCGGTGGAAAAAGGCTGACGAGATGGCGAAGTGTTACATCATGGCATCTTTGTCAAATGTACTTCAACATCAACATCAGTTTATGAACACTGCAGCAGAGATGCTTCTCAATCTCAAGGAGTTATTTGGTCATCAGTCGCGGGCTACCCGACAAGAGGCAATGAGGGTTCTGATGAACATGACCATGCGTGAGGGCACTCCCGTAAGGGAACATGTTGTTGCTATGATGGCCCAGCTGAATGAGTTGGAGGTTCTTGGAGCTTTTATTGACGGGAAAACCCAAGTCGATATAGTGCTCCAGTCTTTGCCGAAGAGCTTCGAACAATTCCGGTTGAATTACAACACGAATAAGATGTTGATGACTCTTCCGGAATGTGTCTCTGAACTTCAGTCGCCAGAGGGCCTGTTTCGTCAGAAGACCCAAGCTATGGTGGCCCAGCAGGGAGAAGCTTCCACTTCAAAGGCTCCTATGGGCAAGAGGAAGAAGTCCGCAGAAAAGGACAAAGCGGTCATGAATGACGCACAACCTCGACAAAAAGCAAAGAAGCAGAAAGGCAAATGCCACAAATGCCAGCAAAAAGGACACTGGAAGGCAGACTGCCCTCTCTTCAAAAAGTACGACAAAGGTATATCTTTTTCTTTATCGTTGAAACATGTTTACCGGTGTTATCTACCAGAACCTGGTGTGTAGATACAGGAGCCACCGATCATGTCTGCAATTCAATACAGGGGTTCCAGAAAACCAAACGACTTAGGGAAGGAGAAGTTACTATCTACTTGGCGATGCTAGTAGAGCGTCAGCAGTTGCAGTGGGAGACGTCTATTTAGATTTTGGCTTAAATAGGTTTCTAGTTTTGAAAGATTGTCTTTATGTTCCTAGTTTTTGAAAGAATTTGATTTCAGTTTCTAAGTTGTTTATGAACGGTTTTTCTGCTACTTTCGATAATAAAGTTGTTATTCGTTTTGGCAAAAAGTTCATATGTTCTGGTTCATTAGTTGACAATTTATACATTCTAGAATCTATGTCATCTCCACTGCAACAGAAACAATTACTTAATTCATCATCTAATCTAAATAAGAGAAAGGAACCTTCCAAAATTAACGAAACATATCTTTGGCATCTAAGACTTGGTCATATTAACCTTAGTAGAATTCAAAGGTTGGTAGCAGACGGGCCCTTGGGGTCGTTAGAAGTCGAGGCTTTTCCAACTTATGAGTCTTGCCTGGAAGGCAAAATTACTAAGAGGGTTTTTAGTTCGAAGGGGCATAGAGCCGAAGATGTGTTAGGGCTAGTTCATTCTGATCTATGTGGTCCTATGAGTGTTCAAGCGAGAGGTGGTTTCGAGTACTTCGTTACGTTTATCGATGATTACTCGAGATATGGGTACATTATCCTTCTGCACTGCAAGTCTGAATGCTTTGAGAAGTTCTTGGAGTATAAGGCAGTTGTGGAAAGGCAATTAGGAAAAAGTATGAAGTCATTATGATCAGATCGTGGTGGCGAATATCTATCGAATGAATTTAGGAACTACTTGACGGATAATGAGATTACGTCCTAGCTGACTGCGCATGGCATGCCTCAGCAGAATGGCGTAGCAGAACGGAGGAATAGAACTCTTATGGAAATGGTTAGGGCAATGATAAGTTCTAGTACTTTACCAGATTCGTTTTGGGGATACGCCCTAGAAACAACGGTATACATTATGAATAGAGTACCTTCTAAATCAGTACCATCTACACCATTGGAGTTGTGGTCTGGGCATAAGCCCAGTCCAAGGCATCTCAAGATTTGGGGTAGTCCAACACACGTGCTGAGAACCGATACTGATAAGTTGGAACCGAGGACAGAAGTAAGGCTGTTTGTGGGATATCCTAAGGAAATGAAAGGTGGTCTATTTTATAGTCCCGAGGACCAGAAAGTAATCGTTAGCATGAATGCTAGGTTCTTCGAAGAACACTATGCCTTAGATCATAAGCCCAGTAGTAGACATGTCCTCGAGGAGTTAAAGGGAGTGAGTACTTCAATACCGAGTGCGCTAGATGTTACACCACAAAGTACTGCAACACGTATCTCTGATGATGCACCTGAGCAGGTAGTAACTCGTCGTAGTGGGAGGGTTTTCCGGTAGCCCGAACGGTTCATGGGTCTGGGAGAGTCTTTTGAGGCCGCCCCGGACGTTCTTGAGTCCGACCCATGGTCATACAATGAGGCACTCCAAGATTAGGACGCAGAGTCTTGGCAAAAGGCGATGAAATCTGAAATAGGGTCAATGAACACTAATCAGGTCTGGGATCTTGCAGAGCCACCCAGTGGCGTCCGAGCCATTGGATGCAAGTGGGTGTATAAGAGAAAGAGAGGAGCAGATGAGAAGGTTGAGACCTTCAAAGCTAGGTTTGCTGCGAAAGGGTACACTCAGAAAGAAGGGATCGATTATGAGGAAACCTTTTCGCCGGTAGCCATGCTCAATTCCATCAGGATTCTCTTGGTTGTGGCCGCTCATATGGATTATGAGATTTGGCAAATGGATGTTAAGACCGCTTTCTTTAACAGGAATTTGGACGAGGACATCCATATGCAGCAACCAGAAGGATTCATTACAAAGGGCCAAGAGCATCCGGTCTGCAAGCTGAAGAGGTACATTTATGGGCTGAAGCAAGCTTCAAGGTCTTGGAACATCTGTTTTGACGAGGTTGTCCAATCATATGGATTTACCCAATGTCCGGATGAGCACTGCGTATACAAGAAAAGTGATGGAAACGTGGTGGTGTTTCTTTTGCTGTACGTAGATGACATACTTGTCATTGGAA